TTTTTTAAAATAAGATATATATATATATATATATATATATATATATATATATATATATATATATATATATATATATATATATATATACATTCCATAAAAATAAAATAAATATATCTCTTTCTAGCTAGAACGGGGCATACATATTTCATCATACAACCTATTGTCTCCCCCACAGACCCGACTGCCGTCGGCTGCCATGTATTGTCGTTTACATGTCCTCCCCCTCTTGGTCTACTGCTGCAGTACAGTAAGGCGGTCATGTGAGTCCGTGCAAGTGAGCGTGGCGACTGACGAGTCCACGTTACCTTGTGCACGTAACCTGTACCGCGAAGCTTTAGCTATCACGAGAAGAATGTTTTGCCGGAGCACAAAGCCACCGCAAATTTCACAGCCACATGTTGACCACCCCCTCGGTATCTCTTGTCGAGGGACGAGACATTGACCGACGCAGACAACGCGGCCCCACCGGCCACCAGTGGGCTCTTGACGCTTCTGGTTGTCGTAAGCCTACGCTGCTGCTGTTCCCATTTCCCACCTCCACCTTTCTGCCGTCGGAATCTCGGCAGCGAGGAGGGCCACGGCTCTCGTCCGTGAATGCCGGCCAAAGTCCGGTGGCGGTCCCCCCGCCTCGGTTTCCTCCTCTAAACAACATCGTAAGGGGAGAAAAGAAAGCGGAGGGGTGGATGCGTTCTGGCTTTGCCATATTTGGCAGCGCATTGGGAGGCGCGACCGTGGCGTGCTTCGTCTTCGAGCGACAGGTTGATGCTGACGAGTCACGTCGATCGTCCTTTTCTCTCTCTCTCTCTCTCTCTCTCTCTCTCTCTCTCTCTCTTTGCGGTGAATTCTTTGATGTGTAAGATCAGATATCATTCAGCAGAGAGAGAGAGAGAGAGAGAGAGAGAACGAAGAAGATGTTCGTTGGAAGCCTGTTGGTTCACATGAAGAACAGTAAATAACATGGCTCTACAACATTTCTTTGCTTCGTTGCGAGTCTATCGGTGCTGTACTGCTTTGTTTCATAGATTTCAGACGTTGTACTGTATAATATGAGGGTCGCTGCAGTCGCCATGATTGGCAGGCATTACATGAGGCGGATTTGAGGGACATGCATGCGTTTGTCACTATGGATGAGTGTCAATATAGTATATACGAATTAACTAAAATCAATCTCTCTCTCTCTCTCTCTATCTCTTTTCCGGGACTAACATCCTTTTCCATATTTCTCCAAAAAAAAAAAAAAATCGCTATCAATCATACTATCTGAAATATTCTCTGATCGATAGGGTAAATTGATTCGATACACATGTATAACATTTATGCTATCAATTATAGTATTTATGAATAGATTTATAATATTTTTAACACCTCCATCGAAACATTATAAGTCGATTAGAAAATTATAATCGGAACAAATGAGCTCAAAACTCAATAGAAAGTCAGCTTATATATATATATATATATATATATATATATATATATATATATATAAAATAAAAGGTTTCGAATATGTATTGTTATTAGTTTAGAAATACAAATAATTAAATAAAAGTTTTCTATGTTAATTATAGTGTTTTTTTTTTTGACACATCCACAAAGACATCGTAAGCCTATTAGAAGGCATTATTATAACTAAGAATTAGACCCATTCATCGGTCTATAGGATATAGCAGTATCATTTTAAGGAATTACAACAAAAAGACACCTCTCATAAAAAAACAATGGACTCTTTTCGTATGCACATTAAGAAGAGGAAAATGAAGACACAACATATGTAGAGTGTTAATATTGGGCATATCCATTTGATTGCAAGGAGAATCCAATGTGGCGGAGGACGCGGAGCACATGCATTCCTGTGAACAATGTACTCCACACGGCCACAGTGTGACAAGTAAGATTCGTGGCTGTTTTACTACTTACAGCCAGCTGTTCCTCGGGGAAACAAAACGTTGCATCTCTGCTTTGATCTCTTTGTAGTCTCACCTTTTGAGTGAGTTAACAGACGCACAGGATGTGCACAGGTCCAGCGAGTCCCCCAACTTGATCGTATGTTTCTTGTCTGTATACCCTTCTTCACCGAGACGAAGAGCTATACATATATATATAGGGGACCCAAACAAAGCATTGGGCCTTCAACTCTCTTCTCCTATGTATCTGGGCGACATGGAGGGGAGGACACACACGAATCATTTAAGATGTATGTTATTTGACTTGTCTTGTGGAATGCATTCACCTTCTCAAGCTCGATTCTTTTCGAGCTACTTCACAAAGGATGTTAGGTAACTGGAGCGGATGATACCGTAAGGAGGAAGCTTAGATTAACACCCAGCTTAGTGGATCTATTACTATTAATTTAGATTTAAATATCATCTATTACTATCAATTTATATTATAAGAAGAACCAGATAGGAGGCCTATCACTTTGGGTTTTAACAAAGACGGAAGATAGATCATATGAGTCGAGTCAGTTTAGATAAGTCTAACTTAAAAGTTAAATCGGATTGAGCGATCAACGCAGATGGGACCTCATACCGAGGTGAATTTGTGTTATGTTTAGATCTTTTGCCATTTAGTATTATTATATTTGGATAGAGGAGATAAAATCGATAGGAAACAATCCTTATTCTGTCTGTCTCAGAATGAATCCAAATCCGAAGGATAAAAAAGAAAATTCTTCCAATTATTGTGTTTGTGTTTCTTCTTGCCTCCTCTGCCTTTAAATGATCGACCAATTAGGTACATGTCAGACAGATCTTATAAGCATCTATAACAGACATTTAGATGTAAAAAAAATTATATTTTTATTAATTTAGACTTTGAGATCGTGTAGTTTTAAGACTATCAAATTAATGAGAAGGAAAATGTGTTACGCTTTTAAGTAGTGATGAAACATTCATTCATTGCTTTTGCTAATAATTTGAATCATATTATTTAATATATATTTGAATCATCAATATCGATATTATTTATTGTCTATCATCAAAATCGATATTTATTAATAAGATAATTAATCATTAAAATACCCTTGTGATTAATGCCTATACCCGTCTGTGCAAAGCTCACAAGGTTGAAACAGCCGCAAAGAGAGAGATGCCTTTTTCCTCTCCTTGCCGCAAATCCAGCGATAGGAAGGCAGCACAAGTGGAATTGAAGACTTGGGATTGACGAAACCCCCAAAAAGAGGTTGCAAGCCAGGCCAAGGAATCTCTGCCTTGCTTGTCCCCTTCCCAGACGTATGTGAGGATTACTTCTCCAACAAAATGTGCTTTCTTCTCCTCATCTGCAACTCGTACCTCAAACGAAACCATTTGCTATAAATTGGCATCGAGGACGTGGACGAAGCCCAGAACACCGCCTCTCTCTCTCTCTCTCTTTCTCTCTCTCTCTCTCTCTCTCTCTCTCTCGCTCTTTAGGCTTCAACCACAACAGAACAAACGAAGCTTCCGAGATGGCCGCCGTTTCGCTCAGCTTCAAGAGATCCGACAGCATCGCCGAGGGCATGCCTGAAGCACTGAAGGAGAGCCGGTACCAGATGAAGAAGTGCTTCGCGAGGTATCGCCATGCAACACCTCACCAACCGAGTTTGGATTTTTCTGTAGCATTCATTCATGGTGTGTTGTTTGACTCTTCGATAACGTACGAGATACATTAGGTATGTCTCCAAGGGCAAGAGGGTCATGAAGAACCCGCAGCTGATGGAGGAGCTGGAGAAGTCCATCGATGACGAGGCGGAGAAGGCCAAGGTCATGGAAGGATTTCTCGGCTACATCATCTGTTCCACACAGGTAACAAGTCCTCATCTCGTTCTCGATTGCTGTAGACACATTACTGACCGAGGAATCATCATCGAACAACAGGAAGCCGTCGTTCTTCCGCCGTTCGTGGCGTTTGCAGTGAGGCCGCATCCCGGGATATGGGAGTATGTCAAGGTCCACTCCGTCGATCTTTCGGTCGATGGAATCACTCCTTGCGAGTACCTCAAGAACAAAGAAACTATCTACGATGAGAAATGGTATATGAACAGCTCAAAAATCTTTTACGTTTAGCACTGTTTGAACCCTCCATCATAATCGCAGGGCGACGGATGAGCATGCTCTGGAAGTGGACTTCGGAGCTCTTGAGCCGTCGACGCCTCTGCTCACCTTGCCGTCATCGATAGGCAAAGGCGCGCAGTTTATATCCAGATTCATATCAGCTAAGCTCAACGCCAGTTCCGAGAGCATGAAGCCATTGCTGGATTACCTTCTCGCCCTTAATCACGGAGGCCAAGTAAGAAGAGCAGGTTATAGTTTCTTGCACCAACATGTCGAAGATCTCTGGTTGCTGACATTTCTACCGTCTATTTGCAGAAGCTAATGATCAACAACACGTTCGACACTGTGAACAAGCTTCAGACGGCGCTCCTTTTGGCGGAAGTGTTCGTCAGCGGGCTTCCGAAGAACACGCCATTCCAAAAGTTCGAACCCAGGTGGCGGACAAGGAAGAAAGACTTGAAATTAATAAACAGGTGAAGCTTTAGATCAGTCTGATTCATGCGGCATTGTGTGCAGATTTGAGGAGTGGGGGCTGGAGAAAGGATGGGGTGACACTGCGGCGACTGTGAAGGAGACACTCAACTGTCTATCTGAGGTTCTCCAAGCACCCGATCCTGTCAATCTGGAGAAGTTCTTCGGCAGAGTTCCCTCCATCTTCAACATCGTGATCTTGTCCCCGCATGGCTACTTCGGACAAGCAGATGTTCTTGGCTTGCCCGACACCGGTGGGCAGGTATATAAGGAACTCGATCTCTCTACCGATAACTAGAGACTCTCTTGCCGGTGCTGTCTTTTGAGTTGTTCTTTGCATCATCATCATCATCATCATCATCAGATTGTCTACATTCTGGACCAAGTAAAAGCTTTCGAGGAGGAGCTGCTGCTGAGGATCAAGCAACAAGGACTGACGATAAAACCTCAGATTCTTGTGGTAAGTAGATCAAATACTAGCGAATGAGAAAGCCTTGAACGAAAGAAAGCAGAGTCAACAAGATGAGGTGAATCCAGGTGACCAGGCTGATACCAGAAGCCAAGGGGACGAAATGCAACCAAGAACTGGAGCCAATTCTCAACACCAAGCACTCCCACATCCTCCGGGTGCCATTCAAGACCGAGACCGGAGTTGTGCAACAGTGGGTCTCTCGGTTCGACGTCTACCCTTACCTCGAGAGATACGCTCAGGCATGTCGTTCTTGAACTCAAGTAAGACTCCTGATGGTGGACGTGACCTTAAATCTGGTTGTGGGATTCTCAGGATGCTGCTGCCAAAGTAGTCGACATCTTGCAAGGGAAACCGGACCTCATCATCGGAAATTACACCGATGGAAACTTGGTGGCGTCTCTCATGGCAACCAAGCTCGGAGTGACTCAGGTGTGGCGAACAGATGATAGATACTCTTGAAGCCCATTCCGCATTTCACACCCAATGGATGCCTAAGATAACCATGACGAACAGGGAACGATCGCGCATGCTCTCGAGAAGACCAAGTACGAGGACTCGGATGTGAAGTGGAAAGAACTGGAACCCAAGTACCATTTCTCGTGCCAATTCACGGCCGACATGATCGCGATGAACACCACTGATTTCATCATCACCAGTACGTACCAGGAAATTGCAGGAAGGTAACCGGTTTCGGAAGCTGTTCTTGATTGGTTTGAGATGCTTCATGGCTGTTCTTGGGTGAAGACGAGTCTTCTGGCGGTGCAGCAAGGATCGGCCGGGGCAGTACGAGAGCCACCACGCCTTCACGCTTCCAGGGCTGTGCCGGTTCGTCTCCGGCATCGATGTCTTCCATCCCAAGTTCAACATAGCTTCCCCTGGAGCCGACCAATCCGTCTACTTCCCCTACACCCAGAAGCAGAAGCGCCTCACTTCGCTTCATCCTGCCATCGAGGAGCTGCTGTACAGTAAAACGGACAACGAGGAGCACACGTAGGCCTTCCCCCCGATAGAATTCGTGAGTGACATGATCGTCTCAGCAGCACTAACATTTGTTCCAAGCAGAGGATACCTTGAAGATAGGAAGAAGCCCATCATCTTCTCCATGGCGAGGCTCGACACCGTGAAGAACATCACCGGGCTGGTCGAGTGGTACGGGAAGAACAAGAAGCTGAGAGGGCTCGTGAACCTGGTCGTGGTCGCGGGCTTCCTCGACCCCTCAAAATCGAAGGACAGGGAGGAGATCAGCGAGATCAAGAAGATGCGTTCCCTGATCGAGAAGTACCAGTTGAAAGGGCAGATGCGATGGATAGCAGCGCAGACCGATCGGGTCCGCAACGGCGAGCTGTACCGCTGCATCGCAGACACCAAGGGAGCTTTCGTGCAGGTCTCATCGATCGCTGTAACGTCTCCCGTCATGGTGTTCCGCAATCACGATTAAATGGTAAGCTGTGTTACGTTCTCCTGATGCAGCCTGCTCTGTACGAAGCGTTCGGGTTGACGGTGATAGAGGCGATGAACTGCGGCTTGCCCACCTTCGCGACGAACCAAGGAGGTCCGGCGGAGATCATCGTGGACGGCGTGTCGGGCTTCCATATCGACCCCACCGACGGGGAGGAAGCCAGCGGCAAAATGGCGGACTTCTTCGAGAGGTGCAAGGACGCGAGCTACTGGAACAAGATCTCCACGGCCGGCCTCCAGCGCATATACGAATGGTAATGCACTGAATCCGCTGGTGTACGTAGGTAAGTGTAGTATAACCACGTAAAAGAGATCTAAGAGGAAAGAGGAATTGTGACCTACAGCTACACCTGGAAGATCTACGCGACCAAGGTGTTGAACATGGGGTCGATCTATGGCTTATGGAGGCAGCTAAACAAGGAGGAGCAGCTGGCGAAGGAGAAGTACCTGCAGCTTTTCTACAATCTGCAGTTCAGAAACTTGGTGAGTTAACGAGTGGACGAAGTGATTAATTACATGAGCTGCATCACAAAGAGAGCTTTCGACTTAGTAAAGTTTCTTGCCTTTTTGTCTTCGTTCCCAGGCCAAAACTGTACCGATAGCCACAGATCAAGCTCAGCAAGAGGCAAAGCCGAAACCAGTGGCAATACCTGCATCACAACCATCCCAAAATCCTATCCGCAAACTATTAGCCATTTGTACAAGAAAACACAAGGGAGGCCAGTAGCTATGAATCACCAGGAAATAATACTTGAGCAACCAGAGGAGCAGATACTACAGGAGTGTACCAACCAAGCAATGGAATTGGGTCGGTTAATCCTGGTGACAGATCTTATTGTGTGTGCATTCATCAATTTGTTTTCTTTTTCCCTTTTTCTCGTTCGTATTTGTAATGAAAAATTTGTAAATGTCTCAGCGCTATAAATATATATGTAAGATGCAATAACATAAAATGTCAATACAAGACGATTCATACGACTAGAATATCCCATGCAACATATCAGAGTCTACAAATACGTACGTTCTCCCAAAGAAAATACTATCAAGTGTGCATACCGAAGGCCAAAATGAGTGCATGCGTGGCATATATAAGTCAAACAAGATAGTAGTACGGACGTAAAGGTGGAGTCAAGTTGCAAACACAAGGCAGCCACCAAGGGATTTGTCAGCTCAGCAGTAGAACATGACCCTCTTCACGTTCTCCTTCAGTGCTGGAAGAGGTTTAACGGCAGCACTACCTGGAATTCTCGTACTACGCGGTCCACCGGGCGGAGCCCCACGTCCTGCAGCTGCTCCACTTGCCATGGAACCACTATCTGATGTCTCCGGTTCCATGTAGAACCGGGCACGGAAGGCGGCAAGATGGGCATAATATGCAGGTGGTACTGTTGGACAATCATAGGACAAGTCAGCCGTGGGAATTTGCAAGTCAAAAAAGGAAAAAAAAAAAAGGAAGACATACCGATTGAAACAGAGCGCGTGCACCTTGCATAACTGCGAAGAAATCAATGTTAAGTTTCAAATAGATGAACCAGAAATAAGCACAGAAAGGGATGATTAAAAGCGTAGGATCTTTACGTGTAACAAAGATTGTTTGTCAGGGTTTGCAATGCATCAGCTGTGAATTTGTTCTCATCCCATAAGACATGGTAATGTGCAGGACGGCTTGTGCCCTTCATGTTCAATACAACATGGTCAAATTTTATTGCCAACCAGATCCTCAATTAACAAATAAATAAATAAAAGCATGTAGTGATGAGATAATATTACTTGGATGCCGGCATGGCTGCACAGGTAGAAGTCAAATTCTGTAGGATGACAGATCTTGGAATCAACAACAGTCCCTAAAATTTCCAAAGGCAAAAAAACACCACAATAAGATCAAATTTCCATATTTACAAAGGTTCTAAAGTAAGGAACATCGTTGCAACAGCTAAGAGGCAGACAACTAAAGTAGGCAGCATCAAGTGGTCAAACAAACTTACCTGGTAATATGTTTCCACTCCTATCAACTGATCGGTCATCATTATGATTATTTGCGAACAGCCTAGTATGATGACGTTTTTGGACAACCACAAAAGTCACCGGAGGTTGATAATTTGATTCTAGAGAGGCACACGCCTGAAACAAAAATGAAGAAAGATGTTGGATAGTGATAACATTGGAATAACAATGCACATTGGTGACAAGATATCCTACTTTTCTGATTGCATCAAGTTCATAAAGTAAAACTTGATAGAATTGCCCCTCGCTTACTCCATCCCTGAAGAGAGAAGACCAAAAGTGAGTCTACATCATAGGAACAGATATTAAAATGCAAAAAATATCTTAATTGTATACTGTATACCTGTAGAAAATAATTCGTTGGGGCTTTTGTCCAGTAGCTCTTTTAAAGGAAATAAGAAGCTCTCTGCACATCCCATATGTAACAGATGATTCCTTAACATGAAAACACAGGAAAAACACTACCAACTAATTCTCTATAGATAACTGGCTATAGATTAATGAGTTATACTTGATCATGCCACCGGTCACAGTTCCACGCTGAGGATCTTGCCAGACTTTAAACAGATCTTGAATCAATTCTTGACGATGGGCCTGTGCACAAACTAATCCTGCATATTTTGTCACCTCAGGCCAATCTTGAGAAGCAACAACCTGAAAAGCAAATAGAAACAAAGTAAGCAATACTATCCAAATAAAAGATAACATGGAAAAAGAAGAAAAAATATGTTAAGGAAGGCTATCTTACAGCAGCAATGGAAGGGCTAGAGTCCTCTCCAGGATGAGGATGTGTGACATCAGCACCAAATATAATAGTAGGTTGGTCACTAACAAGTGGTATGCGCCTTGACAGGGCATCCATAAGAACTGTGTTCCTTCCTCCAACCTATCCATGAAAACATCTTTCAGAGCACGGAGATAAAAAAAAAAGGGAACAGATAACACACATCCAGACACCCACCTTTACATTTATTTTAAGCGCAACATTGGCGAGATACTGCTTGGACATCCTGAAAACATGCTTAGTCAAACAACATTGTGAAACTAAACCAAGATCCGTCTCACATATCCGCTTCAAATCACCTGTCATTATGTGAATTAGCAGCAGAGATCGAATTAAAATTTATGGTGATGAAAAAAAAGAAGTTAATTAAGTTATACTGAACAAGATCACATGCATGTTATCATACCATAAAGAGAACCATTATTATCGGGCAATATGACAATAAGCAAATCAAGTTCTTTGCCCTGGGGCTGGAGTATGCTCATTGCATCATGATAGCGTGCTTTCAAAGCTCTTTCCACTTGGTCAGGCCTAGCACTTAATGGAGGAAGTACAGGCTCCCGAGCAAACTCCTGTTAAAATTTTAAGTAACATTATTGACCAAGGTTCTTATATTATACATCATTTATCAAATTAAAATAGGATATGTTCTGACAAGAATAAGATCAAGAACATACCATTCCAGATATCTGGCACATCTGAGCAAGCTCATGACAGAACCCACGAGCAACACTTTCTTGAACATTCCGTGCAAAATTGATACATGTCCAGTTGTTCACCCTCCCACCATTCACCATTTTCTACAATTTGCAGAACAAACAGATTAATATCACAGGTAAATATATAGGAGAGAAGGCCTGTTCATGTTTCTGCATGAAGAACATAAAGCTTCAACGGCACCCATTGCAACAAATTAATAATGCAGAAGCCAAAAAGGTATTAGATGACTATATTTGTGAACACGCACAAGACTAATGCCCACAACAAAGAAGAAAAAATCTCAAAGAACCCTGATAGTTTCCATTCTATGCTTTGACCTTGAAAGAAGAAAAATAATAATATAAGGTTGTCGCAGCAAAACTAAATCGACTTGAACGAAGTCTTAGAGAGCATTGTCCTGCTGGACTGTCAAGGACCAAATCCTGAATCTCCGTCAGAACTATAAATATTTGGTAAATACTATGATCAGTTGCTATACAAAAGGTAGCTATAAAATCCTGTCTTTAAGTTGCTACAAGCACACACATATAAGATGAGAAGAAAGCTCATTGACAATGTTAGATACATATTTCAATATCATCAATGAATGCAAGCATATAACACAAGCAGAATCAACATGTAGGAGCTTCTCGCTTAATAACCTAGTAAGCTTAAAACAGAGCAGCTTAATGCAATACCTTATTCATCATATTCCACTGGCCAACCCTAGGCAAGCAATCCTTCTCTCTACCAGTGTCATGGTACTTAAGCTGCACAACCAACAAAATCTAATAAAAATCCATTGAAATTTAGCATGATGTGAAAATAGCAAGCTGCAGGAGTTCATTAAAACAGAAAAGACACTAATTACATCAAATTAGTTGTGTTAATTACCCACGGGGCAGGCAGAACACGAGCCTCAACTGATGCAAGTTTCTCGCTGATCTTGATGCCAAATTCTTGGGCATAAGGATCTTCGTGGTAAGCATTGTGATGAACTGTCTGTAAAAATGACATGCACATAGTTACAGATACAGAAACGAGAGAAATAAAAAAATTTTCTATGCTGAATCTAGATACAGGAAATATCCATGAATGTTCTGAATAATTGCAGTTTCATTCTATAACTATATAGTTCTCCAAACAAAATCATCATTAAGATAGAACTCCATGGTGAATGATGATCAAGTACAGCTTTATGGGTGACAATCTCGAGTCTTGATCAAAACCCAGTGTTAAACATAACCCAACATATCCTGTTGAACCAAATCTTCAGATATCAGATTTGTGCCAAAAATTTGACTAAAAGCAGGCCCAAACAAGCTCAGGTCAAAGATGTCACCATAAGAAACATTTGGTTCAGTAACTGAAATCCAAGGGCAAGGAAAAAAAAAGTAATTGACGGTTTATATTTTGGTTGGGTAGTATTTTACTATAATTATCTTGCGTGATCATCGGATCATCGAACACCTTTGAGATTAGAAAAAATATATATAAGATAATTGTTAAACCTATAGTATTTAGTGTTGAACAATTAAGAAATGTATTGTTGAGATGAGGATGCTGAGGTGGATGTATGGAGTTATTAGGAAAGGTAGAAAAAAATCTTTTTGATAAAAGATAAAACAAGGTATAATCATTTAAGATGATATGGACAGTGTGGTTAAAAGAAATTGCTTAGGAGATCTACATAATAGTTAAAGGAAGTGAAATGATTACTGTTACTTATATAAAGATTCTAATAAAATCTATAAATAAATATTTAAATATTCTTAGCTTATATATGACTCTTTAGAGATCTTAATGGTAACAAAAGACCCATATATAGCCGAACCTTACAGTTTTGTTGTTATTATTGCTATTGTTGTTTTAATATTCTGGTATATACATAGGAATGGTAAACTAAAAAAGCAAGTAATAGTTGTTAAAAATTAGAAGTGGGAGAAAATGATAATAACATAACCTTACCCCACTCATAGGACTACTTTCTCTTCCCTTGGATGCTTGTGGAGGTATGCAACAGGGTTTCACTATTTCCTCTTATACTCAGTGAGGGTGAGAATATCAATAGCATTCTCCTGTAACTAAACAATCTGCAGCCCACCTTTACCCATCAGCCTGCTCAACCCAGGTCCTACAAGTTAGCTGCAAGTGTTTGTTGACCAGTTGAAATATCACATCATATGTATCCTCACTTTTACTATCCTACCCTCCCAATCCAAATGTAACCCTACCAATGTGGTCAGCCCAGCCCAGTCATGAC